ATGGGTAGAGTGATAGGTTGGACATGTGGTTAGGATAATAGGTAAGGCAGAGGAAACAGGCTAAAGCCTGATGTTCTGTGAGTGTACAGTCCTCTATCTCATTCCTCTTTTGGAAAACCCATCCCAGGATAGAGTATTTGGTTCTTCCCCAGAGTGGCACATGTTCTCTGGCCAGAGATAATCAGAGACCTCCTTGCTTTGTTCCACTTAGAGGCTCCAGGAGAGGCCTGTTCACGCCATTCAGATTTCTGTGAGATACTTATATTTGAGTTCTGGCAGAAGGAGAGGGTCTGTCTTCATTTTGGGTCATGAACCAACCAACTCAGACATGGGATGTCTACTATCATTTCTCCAATGGGAGAATGGAGGCAGTGTGGTGGTCAAGTACAGAGAGACTGTATACCAACCCATGTCCTTGGATTTTCTGCATCCAGTCATGCCTAAAATCTACTAATGTATCACTTGGCAATGTAGTTACATGAGCCAGTAAGTATTCGTTCTTACCTCTTGCAGTTAAGTAAAGGGGAGGGTGATGGTTAACGCTCAGAACCTGTCAGGGGGTCAAGCTCTCCCTTTCAGTAGATACCAAGCTATACTACTCTACAGTCACTCCCCAGACCCCAAGGTGTCATGCTGAGTGTGGCAGTTTTGTGGCTGAGGCCGGATAACAGGGCTACCACCTTGGGATTTCTTGGAGATATGCTGGGTAGACATAGCTATGCTATAGCCTTGTGGGCAAAGGTGTGCTTATTCTCCAAGCTCAGGTCCACTAGTCTTGCCTAGAAAAGGGCTCCTGGGTTCCAGAGAGTTCGCTTGGGCTTGGGAAATAGGCAGGTCAGTAGAACAGAACCCAGGACAACCGATATTCTCCCTCTGATGATAAAGCTGTGACCTTTCTGCTCATGTCCAGTCCCCGGGCAACCATGCTAGTGCCAGAGGATGCAGATGGGAACATCTGGGCATGAGTGTGGGCTACATCAGTGTGTGCAACACCTGGTTGTGCACACGGAAGCCCTGCATACATGGGGTACCAGCATGGGCACCAAGGCTGTCTGAGCAAATGTGTATGAAGCCACAGGAGGTGAGAGTTAAGCAATGGGGCCATATGAGTGAGTGAGTGTGTGTGTGTGAGTGTGTGTGTGTGTGTGTGTGTGATACCTAGCTACACAAATTTGGTTTGTATGAATGAACACTTAACCCAATGATGGTGGATGTTGCATGAGGTGCCCCCATGCTGTAGCCTTACTGGTGTCTTATTCTTCCCCATTTGCTTGGGTGAGGCCTGTCACTCAGCTGTATTGGGGGTCTTTGGTGCTATCCAAAGCCTGGGACTTTCAGTGTCCATCCATAATGACTTAGTCACTTTGCCTGCCAACAGTTGTGGCCTCCCTGTATGAAGTCCTCCTTTGATCATAAGAGTCTGCATGGCAGGGACCAACACTGTGTAAAGGGAAGCCTCCAAACACTACTTCTGAGAGCCAGGTGTAAGTGACCCAGATAGGTCACCTCAGGAAGCCTGGCTTCAAGGCATGTGTGCAGCGGCTCTTGGATTGCCGGTGGGATAGAATTCAATGGCCCACATCCTCTCAGGCTTCATTCCCTCCTTTCATTGCCGGGAGGCTACTTCCCTAACCAGTCTCTTGGACAGCATGGTTGTGTTCCACAATCTGGTCCTGCTTCCTCCTGGCATATCGTCTAGAAGGTGGACCATTACGTCCCATTTCTAAGGCTTCCAGGCACCCAGCTGTCATCCTTGGGCCTTGTTCCTGGAAAAGAGAGGAGTCAGAGTCCTTGTAGGATCATGCAGAGCCTTGAGCATGATGCCTACAGCCCAAGGAGTATGTGCATGGAAAAGAGAAGCTGATAGTCCCAGGAGCTCAAGTGTTTAGAACGAGTGCCAGTGGAGGTGATCTGGGATGGAGTCAGAATATGGCTGGACACCATCACCCCGAAGAAGGAAGAGCCCCAGCACGGAGCATAGTATCATACAGAACAGAGGGGGAAGTAGGAGAGCATAGCCAACAGGAATTCCCAGAAACCGCGACTGAGCGACAGAGTCTCCTCAACAAAATGAGACGACACGTTCGACCTCACAGAACATCTCAGTGGCAGAAGACAAGCCCAGGATCCAAGTGTCAAGTTCAGCATACAGCTCTGAGTGTCCCGTGGCAGGAATTTCCTCATTCTTCCAGGGTGGACTCTGTGACAAGAGCAGTGGCAGCAGGAAGCCAGCAGGTGGCAGTGTGGGCTTGAGAGTAGACAGAGCTGGACAGCAGACCTGTATTTCTCCAGCAGGAATTTCCAGAAGGAGCCCCTGGGTCCATCTCACAAAGCCCCCCCCCTGCTTGTTTAGGATGACACCCCACTTTCAGGGCATAATCTTGGGGGCTAGGCCTATGCTGGTGCATTGGGGTTCTAGCGGAAGGGACACATGTCCAAGAAAGGAAGTAAGGCTCCATCTGTAAAGAGGTCACCAGGTAAAGTCTCTCTCTGAAGGGCCGTAGGAAAGAGGAGCATTTCTGCAGAGGGGAGCAGAAAGCACATTTCTGTCTGAATACCGGTTCCTATTTGTCTTGGGAGGATACGCCTCTGGAGTACCGAAGGCCAAAAGGTGGTACCTAGTGTACCTGGAATTAAGTCCTGAAACATCAGGCAGGTCTCAGAGAAGCTGCACTATGTTTCAGCAAGGCACAAAAACAAAAAAGGGGACTGGGGATATGGCTTAGTGGGTAAAGTGACTGCTGTGCAAGCGTGAGTTCAGATCCCCAGTACCACATAAAAATCCACGTGCAGCAGCACAGACTGGGAGGCGGAGACAGGAGTTTTTGGGGACTTGGCTAGTCTAGACTAATAGGTGTCTCCAGGAACTAGGGAAGCAGAGACAGGAGGATTGACAGCTAGGTTACATAGGAAAATCTTGTTTAAAAAAAACCAAAAAACAAATAAAAGCAGAGAAACAGAAAAGAAATCCTATGAGCCTGACTATGTAAACCCTCCCGTCTACAAGAGCACAACCTGGTCTCGCTGGCTCAAACCTGAGGAGTAGCCAGCGGGGCATGTCAGCGTTCAGAGGCAGGTTTAAGATGGCTTCCATTTAGGGGCTTCTTTTCCTCTCAATTTGCAGCCACCGGGAGCCTTGAAGGCCTCCATGCACTCCTTGAAAGTGTTACTTCTCTCTACATCTTTGTTGATTTGATGTGTTTATTTTGAACACAGAAAAGATACATTGCTGCTTATTCAGCCTAATCTAGGAAGGAGAAAAGCTGTCCTGTAGATCCCTCCAACATGATGAGTAGGCAGGGGTGTCCCCCCCCAGCACTTTCCAGAGCCACAGAAACAGACTGCATTTCTTAAAAGAGTCTCATCCTTGGGGTGCATTTCAAAGTCAGTACAGTACAACAGACATCTTTTTGCCTAGAAAGCAGAACAGCACAAAGATGGGCAGAGCCGCTTGTAAACAAGGTTCCCTCCCGCAGGTGGAGGCCATGACTCTAGGAAACTACTCGAAGGACGCTACAGAACCTGTGGGTGGGTTCCTTTGGACTCTGCATCAGAATAAATGCTATTTCTATAGAAAATATAATTCAAGATAGCCATCCTTGTCACCCTCTGCTTTAGAAAGGGATTGCTGAATTTTCTTAGCCCTTCACTGGAGAAATTGAAATGTGGGAGAAGGTTCAATGGGGTGCGCCTGCTGCTTTGGGAGGAGGGACAAAAGGTGGGGGGTGGGGCGCAGGGTGTCTTGCTCCCTGCCACTGGCAATGCTGGCAGGACATTGCTCAAAGATACTTAGCCACCACCTTTGGCAAGCTGGGTCTTCCAAGATAACCTGTCACCTTACATAGTCTTTGGTGGAGACTGCTGGAGTTCACAGGCTAATACCAACCTTTCTCCAACCAGCTGTCTCCACATACTTGCTTCTGTGACAGGATGACTGTGTCTTCTCATAGTGGCATGGTGTTCTTTTGTGTGTTTTGTTTGCTTGGTGAGGTCCGTATGCCTTTTTGTTTGTCTCTGTGGTGCCCCAGAGAGGCAAGGCCAGAATTCACCACCTCAGTCCCCAGCTGTGAGCTACCACCCTGGATGACAGCACTGGCTCTTGGGTTAGCTTGAGACCTCTTGGGCTCAGGCTGCCAGAGCTGGCTGGGCACTTACTGAGCAGTGGACCCTTCTGCGCCCCTGAGTAGTGTCTAAGTAGCACTGTGTAGAGGCTACCCATACCTTGTCTTCCTTGAACTCCTAAGCCTGGCATGGACATGGGAAGAACATGGCCACGGGCCTGTCCTCCCCCTGAAGTTTGGAGTGGGTGTCTGAGCTAACCTCACTAGCACCGTCAAACTGAGGACATTGAAATAGCAAGAAGCTCAGTGGGTTGTGAGGACCTCCAGGTCACGCCTAAGTTACCGCATCTGTTTCTCCACTCTGTAAGTGGGCTGTGAGGACCTCCAGGTCACGCCCAAGTTACCAATCTGTTTCTCCGCTCTGTAAGTGGCAGGATAGTGACACTGTGGCTCTTCTGCCCTGGAGTTGAAAGACAGGCACAGTGCAGAGGGGCCTCCCTAGGACCTGTCTTGGCTCCCAGTGGGAACAGCCCTGGGGTAGGGTTTGTGGCAGGAAGTGGACCAAGCGGTTTCTGAGGGAGAATCAGATTGTGGCCACATCCTAGAGGAGGCTGGGGAGAGGGAAGGAAGTATGGCTTCCTACGTCGCCTCTGCCCACACTGTTTAAAGAGGCACTACCAGCAGGTGCAAGGCTGGGGGTGGGGGTGCAGAGACACCTGATGGGGGGCACGTCATTTAAAGAAGACCTGCCCAGGTGAGTTTTTGTGGTAGTGGGCCCTGTGTATATGCAGGTGTCTGTATGTCTGTGGTATGTGCCAGTGTATGCGTGTAGTCATATATATGTGCGTGTGCAGGAGTTGTGTGTGCATCTGTGTGTGCACCCGGAGAAGACAGGGTGGCCCGGAAGGACCAGTGGGACTTATGCGCTGGGTCACTCACGCAATCCTCTCGGGGCTGGCAGTTGGAGCCTGGGTTGGGGAGGGTGAACCCTGGGAGCTAGTTGGCCGGAGCTCTGGTCCTGGCAGTGGCAGCAGGTCAGATGGGGAGCCTGCGCCACACACAGCTTCATAAGGTGGCAGCGTGTCCATGGAGACAGTGTGGAAGCCCCTCTGCCCTTGGGGCCTCTGCTCCTGCTGGTGCTGGCTGTGGCTGTGGCCGCTGCCTGAGTCCAGGGCACCATTCAGCACGGGGCAGGAGTCAGTCAGCGAGTAGGGTGGTGGTGCATCCGTGGGGACGTACAGCTGAGTGGCCCCTGGTCCCACGCACTCCTCATAGCTGTGAGAGAAGAGTTTTCACTCAGGGCTTATGGGTCCCTAGACCTTAGGGCAGGTGGCAGAGCCTGTCCTGTGTAGTGAGGAACTGCCCTCATTGTGAAAGACAGCCTGTCTCACACATGCTGGCTCCTGTGAGACCCCACTAGTCCCCAGGGAAGACAGTCTGAAACCCTTGAGACATGGCTCCTGGGTCGACTTTACCTCACAGCCCATGCGGACCCAAGCAAGTCCCTACACCTCTCTCTCTGGGAGTTGTAGATTCCCTGAAGCAAGAGCAGCCATGGTCTAGGACCAGGCTGGGAACTATGAATGGGCCAGGTAGGACCCCCTGAAATGTCTCTGCTGCTGTCTTCTAGGTTTAGGAAGGAGCCCCTGGGGTCCCTGAGGCCATAGCTGTAGGGCTAAGAGCATCTACTGTTTCTCTCAGAGCCCCTGGTGGGAGGGAAAAATGACATATTTGTCAGATACAGGATCTGCAGTGGGAAGGTGACAGGACTCTGATCCCCCTGCTGTAAATGACAGTGACTGCAGGTGGCTGGGAGAACTCAAATGCCCAAGAAGGCACTGTCACTGTCACCTCATGGGGTTCCATGCCCCAGTGAAGGCTGGCCACGATCATTTCTGTCCCAGTGAATGGGTCTTGGAATGTGGGGCTCTCCATGCCCCACTGCAAGAGCAGAGGCTCGGTGTCCAGCAAACTTCCTTCTATACCCCTCCCTTGTCCTTACCACTGCCCCGAGTCTCCTGGAGCAGCAGACTTAACTCCCCCTCTTCAGCCTCTACAGTCCTGTGTAAAGTAGGATGGGCCGGACAACTTACTGGATTTTTCTTGGTGGGAAGAAGGCCCTGTGGGTAGTTGGGGGGGGGCAAGGTTGAGAGTGGGACAGGAAGCCTATAGCTCCTGAGGATGTGCCCTGAGAACATCATCTCCCTTCCCCCCAAGGATTTCAACTGCTTTAGCCTGTACAGGGAAGGAACTGGGCTCCATAGGGTTCCCCTCTGTCCTTGTGGCTCATCTAAAGGACAGGGCCAACAGGGGCTACTTTTTTTTTGTTTTTTGTTTTTGTTTTTACAAGACAGGGTTTCTCTGTATTGTTTTGGAGGCTATTGGTCCAGCCCGGCCTCGAACTCACAGAGATCCGCCTGCCTCTGCCTCCCGAGTGCTGGGATTAAAGGTGTGCGCCACCACCGCCCGGCCAACAGGGGCTACTTTGATTGATGTGGTGGTACAAACGGATAGAGTGTGGGAGGAGGCAGGGCTCTCTGTGAGTCTCAGCTGTCTAGGTTCATATCAGACAGGCGCAGGCTGATGAAAGCCTACCCTACCTAGGCTAGCTGAGATTGGGACCTGGATGGCCTAAGACAGGAATGGAAAGGCAGGGTCCCATGCACCCCATTGTCACCCAACAGATGGTAGGGGCTACCCAAGCCTGGGGACTCTGTGGCTGCACCTGCAATGTTTGAGAAAGACTGATCTTGGGGTAGGCATGGATTGCTGGTGTCACAAGTAGAAGCTCAGCAGATTTTTCTCCCTAAATGTGCACTGATCCCATGGTCATGATCCTGAACATTCCACCATTCTTACGCCCAGGAAGATCCCTGGAGGAACTTGTAGGGCTCCCCAAAACTGTCATGAGACTATCCCAAAACAACAAGGCTCCCCTTCCCACCACCCACCAGCACGAAGAATCTCAGCTGGTCTCTGTAGGCCATCCTGGTGACATTTCCTGAGTCATGCCCATCCTCAAGGGGACTTGCTTGGTCAGAGGGCAGAGGCTGCGGCCCTGCCCTCTGAGATCCTTTTGTATTTACATACAGGAAGCTGAGGTTCTTTCCATTTCTATCCAGAGGGCCCCCTTCTCTCCCCACCATGAGTCCTCCTTACCCTGGTGGAGAATCTGGGTACAGCTCCCTGAGCACTGTGATGTCCACATCCCCATCAGAGCTGATGTCCAAGGGCGGGGGCCAGTCCTCAGCAGGGCTACAGGCATAGGGCGTCCTGTGGCTGGAGTGGTTGAGCATGTGTCCGACGGACGCTGCAGAGAACAGAAGCGCAGGCAGTGCTAGGGACTCTCCTCAGAGCAGCCGTCCATCCGAGGCTCGGAAGTCCCCCATGACCGCCCGCTTACCAGGCATGGCTGCCTCTGCCCCGAGCCCACTGCCCGAATGTGAGCACTCTGCAGTTCTGAGAGCAGGGTCACAAGGAGGAGACCAGGCTGGACCTGTCCTGAGGAGGATGGATGACAGCGTAGCTCGGGCCAGCCTCGGCACTGGGCAGTATCTGCTAAGCTTTGATAAGTTAGTACAGGACTGTGGGAGAGGAGACATGTGTGCTAGGACACATGTGACTCCAGAGACTAGTTCCCACTCCCATAGAGACTTCTCCTTATTCTTGCCCCAACAGCAATGGAAGAATCTACATCAGAAACCATATCCATAGGTTCAGTTCTGGGATCATGTATGAGAACCAAGAAACTCTCCGAGGAAAATGTTGCAGACACATCCATTCTTCATCGGTGGCCCTGCCCATCTGGCAGGCCCCGCCCTCATTTTATCCTCCATAGTGCCCATATTTTTAAGGTTTTCTACAATGAATACATATTACTTTTCTACTAGAAAAAAAATAAACCCAATAACAGGCTGTGTAAGAGGATCTGAGCTGAGACCGACTCCCCTTCAGGGTGTCAGCTGAAAGATGGGAGCTTTGGAACGCTGTGGGAGAAGAAAGCCAGGAGCGATGACAAACAACAGACAGAAACTAGGCCAGGGCCACTGGGCACTGGAGCTGGCCCTGCATTGCCAGCGTTGTCCAGGAGAGTCCACTTGCAGAGGTGCGTGTTGCTGCACCTCCTACTGCAACATCCCCACCGCACGCACACACACACCCACGCACGCACGCACGCACGCACACTGGAGCTGGGGCCCTGCATTGCCAGCGATGTCCAGGAGAGTCCACTTGCAGAGGTGCGTGTTGCTGCACCTCCTTCTGCAACATCCCCATCGCACTCATGCACGCACGCATGTGCACACACACCCTGGCTGGGGAACTGTAGTCCTCGCCCTGGCTCCAAGCCTTGCCACAAAGACACATGAAGATCACTCCTTCCATAGCCTCTGAAAATCCTTCTTTGGTCTCATGGATATCACCCCTGTGACTGAAGCTGGATGCCTGGGTACGAGGGCAAGGAAGAAGGGGTTTCCCATTTTACTTTCCTGGTAGGGATAAGGAGGGCTGGAGATAGTTGCCAAAGGTGGTAAGCAGCCTTTGAGTCAGGCCTGGGCAACTTTGGAGCGGTGGGCAGAGGGAAAAGCACGTTCCAAAGGGTGGATGCCGAAGGAGCCTGGTCAGGTGCATGGAGGGGGCAGGAGAGCATGAGGGATGTATTGGGTCCATTTAGCACCATCCTGGGGTGGGGGACAGTTAAGGTAGCACCTGGGCTCCTCATGGGAGCACAGGTCATGTCAGCCTGGCATGGGTTCTACTCTGTCTTCTAGGGAGAGCTTAACCCCTGGGGAGACTTGGGGGCTGGGCTGGCTGAGCTTCCTTGCCTGCCCATGCAAACCTGCTGACTTTTTTCTAATCCTAGCTGTTTCAGAGCATGTCACTAACCATCTCTCCATCCACCTTTCCATCCTGATGCCAGCGTGAACCAACAGTGGCAGTGGCTGAGGAGCGTGGCACACTCCCTATCTGGCCTTCAGCCCCTCCCTAAGCCCTTCTCCTGGTAGACTATGGGCCTTTCACGCTGTGGAGGACATGGCAGTGTACATCTGGCAGCTATTCCTGATGGACCAGGATACTTTCCTGACCCCATTCCCCCTCTGGACACATCCTTAAGTCAGCCACAGTGGCAGAAGTAGCATGAGCCAGAGCTCACCTTGGCCCTGTTCGTATTCTCGGTGTCGGCGCCGGCGGTGGTGGTGATGGTGATGGTGGCGGTGGTGGCGATGGTGGTGTCGCTGGATCCGGGCCTGTCTGTCCCTCCTGATGCTTCCCACAATGATGGTGATGCAGGAGAGGGTGATGACCACACCTATGACAGCGCTTGCCACCAGCACTGGAGACACCAGCAGGTGGCTGTGCTCAGAGCTCTCGGAGAATGTGGTAGGGTAGAAGTAGCTGGTGCGGTTGTATCGTGCTACTGTGGACAGAGAGAGGGGACACTGAGCTGGGTCCCAGGCCTGCCACACACGTTCCTCCTTCAACCCTGCCATCCTGGGAATATTCTATCCCTGAATAAATGGATAGTCAGGATCAGGCTTCTCACCTTGGTTGCTGCTGCTGTGGGGGAGGGAAGCTGAGCTCCACCCAGCTCTCCGTAGGGGCTTCCGGTGTTTGTAGGTTTTCCTCCTTCATTTCTTCTGTACCTTCTACTCCGGAAGCCCAACTAGCCCACAGATAGGAAAACTCAAATAGGGCAGTGGCCCTGCTCAAGGCAGAGTCGAGGCTCAAACCCAAGAATCTTAGTAATAGACCAGGACTCTCTTCCACCAGGATGTCAGACTGAATCATATTTACCAAGTCTTGGGTAGAGGCAAGAGGCATGCAGAAGGCAGAGTAGAAGGACTTGGGGCAAAGGTCTCAGGGAGGGATAAAAATCAGCCAGAGCAGCCACAGGCACCTGCCATGTGGCTTAGGGATAGCCACCATCTTAGTGAGTACCACTGAATTCTTCTAGCTTGCTGAGGCCAGAGGTGCAGGTGTCCCTGTCATAGACAAGGGGGATGACCATGCTCAGTGCTGGAAGAGTCCATCCCACAGCTTGCTAGTTACTCTGTTGCTGAGCTAAACTAGAAGTGTGGCTCCCAAGTCCAGACGTCCCTCTCTAGCATCCCTGGTCCTCGGTGGGAGCCTCTCCTGAGGTGTATTCCTAACCTCTGGGCAACAGTGGGACACAGATTCTCAGACTTATTGGACCTCAGGGGTATGGCAAGCATGGTGGGAAGTCAGATCATTCCTAGGCCCTGCTCTGAGAGGGGTTTCCACTTGTATGCCCACAGCCCACGTTAGGTGCACCTGTTGCTTAGGATTGTATGAGGTTTCCAGGCCTTGCATTCTATAACCCTTTGTGTCCTCATGTTCAGCAACCAGGCTAGGTATAACAAAGGTGCCTAATATGTGTATGGTGTGAATGGATCCAGACTTGAGACCAGATGGGAGAATGCCAGGGAGGGTTTGAGTTGCTTTGGAGACACAAGGCTTCTGTTTCGGGTGGTAAACAAGTGGAGTTTGAACGGTGACCTGCCCAGGTAGCTGCAAAAAGGCTTTTTATCCCATGTGAGGGTCTCTACATCTGTAAAGAGAAGCCTTCCCGCCAGCCTGGTTCCAGAGCCACATCAGTCCCAAATAAACACACAGGAGGCTATATTAATTATGAAGCTGTTGGCCTTGCTTGTTTCTTACTGGCTAGCTCTGACTTAAGTATTTACCCCATAATTGTTAATCTAAGTATTTCTCTTAACCGGAGAAATTTCCGGGCTTCCTACCCCATGGTGGTTATATCTTGACTTCCTATGTTTCTCCTACCCAGAGTTCTCCTGGACTCCTAGTCTCACTTATCTTGCTTCCCTATTGGCCAACAGTGTTTTATTGACATATACACAGGACTTCCCCAACATACATCCTCCATTCAATGGTGTCTGCTTTTCTCTTCAAATTCCTCCCTAGCATTTGTCCTAAAGCCCCACCACACTCAGTCCTCAGCAAGGACAGGTGGGTAAAGGAGGAATTTCGGAGCCTCACTGGCACTAGGACATGCTGGGCAGCAGTTTTGGTCCACGCTGGGGGCTTCTGCAGTGCATTGGTCAGCAGCAGCAGGGGGTGTGTCACTGGTACCCATGCCTGATACTCACACTTTGATTGCTGAAGGCCAGTTTAAAAAACTTCCCTGGTGGGATGTGTACCCCATGGTCGTAGCTAGGTATGCATGCTTCTCTTTGGTTCCCATTTGTGTGTGTGTGTGTGTGTGTGCACACAGGTGTGTAGGGTGCATGCATGTGGAAACTGAGGTCGATGTCCAGAATCATCATCTATCACTCTTCTACTTTATTGAAGCAGGGCTTCTCAATCAAACCCAGAGCTCACTGATATGGCTTGTTTTAGTAGCCAGCGTATACTCTGGGGATTCCCTGTCTCTAACTTCCAAGGCTGGAATTATATGGCCACCCCACCTGCCCCGCTATAATATGGGTTCTGAGGATCCAAACTCCAGGCCCTAAGCTTGTGTGGCAAGTGTTTTAACCACTAGGTCATCTCTTCAGCACACAGACACACTTCTTGATGCTCTGACATGAGAATGCTGATATAAATTGATTCCTGGGATTCTGTGAGGACAAACACAGGGCAGTTTTCAGAGGCCCTACTATGTGTAAGCTCAGTGCTAAGATCTCACTTCATCTTTGAAGTTATGTTCATCCAGGTCCTCCCATTTAACACAAGGACATCGAGACTCAAAGATACTGGATAATATGTCACATGCCAATATGTAACTGAGGCAGGCTGCCTCTGGGCTATGGTTCCCTCACTAAGTCAGGAGATGGAAGCTGAGGGTGGGATTTACAGTAATAGGAAAGGGGTAAGAACTGAGTTATGAAAGTCTGTGAGTAAGTTAATTCTCACTGGGATTAAGTCTGTATAAATATGAGGTAGCTTTGGTAAGATACATTTGGTAAGCCCTAGAAAAATCACTAATATGGTGGGGAATCTTTTAAATGGATCAAAATATTACACCCAAAATATGTAGTTTTAGCAAAAAGTAGAAATGGAAGGGGAAAAGAAATGAGACACACAGAAAGAAAGTAAAATGACATGCATAAATACAGCTGTATCAATTGTCATGCTGAATGTGATCTGATTAAGCAACCCAGAGGCAAAGACTCTCAGTCTGGGCAAAAACCATAACTATGTTATTGTCTGTAGGCATCTCATTTGGGAAACAGACCTTAGAGTGTAAGAATGGAAAAATATATACTATGAAAACATAATTATAAGATGGCTGGAGAGTCTGTAATAACTAAGAAAAGGAAATAAAAGGGATACTTTATAATAAAATGGTTATCTACCAGGAAGCCACAAAAGCTATGAACATATATTCACTTAACAAGAGAGTCCCAAAATACATTAAGCAAAGATGAAAATGCTGAGAGGCAATAGACACAGTACAACAAGAGTTGGAACTTCAACACCCCATTTTCTATAAAATTAGGGAGAAGCCAGGTGTAGTGGCACAGACCTATAATCTCAGGACTTGAGAAGTAATGACAGAGAATCATAAGTTCAAGGCCGGCCTCTCACAAACTAGTGAATGAGCCAGCTAAGCAACAAACAACTAAGCAGAAGACAAAAAGCAAATAAAAAACTCAAACAAAATTATAAACTGTTTAGACCTAACATACACCCACTGAACACTCCACCTGACAGAACATGCATTCTTCTCTAGCACAGTGGAACGTTCTCCAGAATGGTCCATATGCTAGGCTGTAAGATGAGCTCCAATTTATTTAAAATGATGGAAATTGTACAAACTATGTCCTTTGATTACACGATTAGAAGTGAATAACACAAAGAAATTTGTGAAAATAATATATATGTAGAAGTTAGGCAACACATCAAGAAATAAACAACAAATCAGAGTGAAAGACACAGGGAAATTCAATCATGTTGAGATGAGTTAGAATGAAAACCAGCATATCAGACTCTGTGAGTTGATGCTTATGTAGTGGTTAAGGGATGTTTACAGCTTTAAGTGCCTATATACCTTTTAAAAAGATCTCAAGTCAACAAATAGTTTCTGATGGGGGATGTCTTTCTGTATATATGTTTCTCTTATTGGTTGATGCCAATAGAGGCAGGAAGATAGGCAGGACTAAGAGATGAGAGAATTCTGGGAAGGGTAGGCAGAGAGAGACCTCAAAGAGTTGCCATGTAGTGGAGGAAGGAGTAACAGGTCCGAACCCTTCTCTGGCAAGATAAGACCAGTGGAAATATTTACATTAATAGAAATGGGCTAACAATTAAGACAGAGCTAGCCAATAAGAAGCCCTAGCCATCGGCTAACAGTTTAATAATAGTTTTCATGTGTTTATTTGGGACTGGAGGGCAGCGGGACCTGGTGGGACAAGGAAACTCCAGCAACAAGTTTCTACCTTAGAATCCTGAGAAGAGAAGAATAAACTGAAGTCTGTGTAAGAAGGAAGGAAAAAAGATTAGAATGGAAATTTGTGAAATTAGAGACAAAAAACACAATAGAGAAAGTCAGAGAGGCCATACTTTCTTTCTTTTTTAAAGATGAACAACACAGAAGAGTCTTAAGGTAGAATGGCCATGGAAGGGGGGCTAGAAGGAGAAGGTTCAAAAATACTAAAAATCAGAAATAAAAGAGGGGACATTACTACAGATCCTACATAAATACATTTACCAAAGAATATTAGGAACAATTAAATGCCAGAAAATTGGATATCTTGCATGCTCAAGTCAAGCCCACTGTCTCTTCCTCTATTTTCTTGCTGCCTATTGATCTGGATATACAACACTCAGCTCCCTCTCAATACCATGTTTGCCCGCACACGGCCACACTTCCCACCACAAGGATAATGTACTAAACCTCTGAATTGTAAGCCAGCCCCAATTAAATGTTTTTCTTTATAAGGGTTTCCATGATCCAAATAAATGGCACTAGAAAAAAAATCACGAGGTAACCCAGACCCAGAAAGACAAACGTGGTATGTACTCACTCATAAATGGGTACTAGATGTAAGGCAAAGAAAAACCAGGCTATAATCCTCAGCCCCAGAGAAACCAGGTAACAAGGAGGACCCTAAGAGGGATGCATGGATCTCCCTGGGAAGAGGAAATAGATGAGATGTCCTGGGTAAACTGGGGGCAGGGAATGAGTAGAGGAAAGGGGATGGGGGGATGGGAACATGAGGGATCAGGATAGTTGAGTTGTGGTCAGGATAGAGCAGGAGAGTGATGGGAGGAGATGTCTTGATAGAAGGGGCTATTGTGGGATTAGGGAGAAACCTGGTGCCAGGGAGGCTCCCAGGAACCCACAAGGATGACCCCAGCTAAGACTCTTAGCAATAGTGGAGAGGGTGCCTGAACTGGTCTCCTGTAATCACACTGGTGACTGCCCTAGTTGTCATCATAGAGCCTTCATCCAATACCTGATGGAAGCAGATGCAGAAATCCACAGCTGAACTCCGGGAGTCCAGCTGAAGAGAGGATAGAGGGATTGTGTGATCAAGGTTGGGGGTCAAGATCATGGTGGGGAAACTAGCAAGGGAGCCGGCATGGGACGGACCTTCGCCTTCTGCATCTGGGTGATGATTGTTTGGCTTAGTCTTTTATGGGGCTTCTAGCAGTGGGAGCAGGACCTGTTCCTGATGCATGAGCTGACTCTTTGGAACCTATTTCCTATGGTGGGATGTCTTGTTCAGCCTTGATGCCATGCTTTGCTGATTCCCACCTAAGAAGAGATGGAGGAGAAGTGGATGGGAGGGCACAGGGGGAGGGGGGGAGGAGAGAGGAAAAACTGTGGTCAGTATGTAAAATAATAAAAAAATGATGACAAAAAGAGTTGCCATAATTATGGTGTTTCTTCACAGAAATAGAACACTAATACAGAGACCCTTGAAAACAATAGAAAGAAGGAAGGAAGGAAGGAGGGAGGGAGGGAAGGAAAGAAGGGTGTGTCTAAATGCAAATCAGCCACAGTTTGATGGGCTTCACAATCACTTGGATGGCTCTAATCAGTGGGGTAGATAACACCAAGTGCTGCAGAGGAATGAGAATCGTATAAACTGCTCACAGGACTGTATATGCTCTTGGCTTTTTTCTAAAAGCGCTCTGGTCCTTCCCAAGTGACTAAACATGATCTCAGATGAACAGGCTACCTCCTCCTTGGCATATGCCAGGAAAATGGAAACCCTCAGAGACTGCCAAATTGGAGATCCAGTGGTATTAATGGTAGATGTGGGACCTTTGGGAGGTGGGGCCTCATGTGAGATCTGTAGGTCACTGAGATACATCATCCAGAAAGACTGAGAGTTTCTCGTGGAGTCTCTCACTTTCTGCTCTGATTAGAGATGTGTGCACCAACACACATTCCCCGCCACTGTCGCTCACGTCATGAGGTGGGGCAGCCAAGGAGTGGCTGAGGCTATTTGTACTTGGAACTGTCAAAACTGTAAGCTAGAGGAACCTCTTATTTTATAACATTAGTTGCTTCATACACATAAACAAGGCAGCTTGACTTTACCCAGACACACAGCCTATAAAGCATGTGCTGTCTGCAAATGACTCTTATCACGATCTCCGAATGTCTCACTTACTCTTGTTTATTTATTGTGATATCGTGTCTTTGGGCTCCTTGGCCACCTTACTAGTTTGTCAGCCCCTTGAAGACAGACTTCCTATCTGTCTTGCCTGACTCACTGAATCTGCAGCACCTGGTCAGATGCCAGACACATAATAGATGCTCATTAAATATCTGCAGGATGACTGAATGAACTGCAGTGGACTTGGTTGGCTCTCTGTTCTCTATTAGGCTAGAATCCAGGTTCTCTTCTATTTAACAGCTTGAATTTTAGATGAAGTGCCAGCTTCTCATTGTTACTGTCAGCTAACATTGTTTTTTGTTTTCCTTAAGATGCAGATGAAAGATAAAACTCCCCATCCACCCACTCACTACCATTCCAGAGGGATCATTTTAAATTGTGTTGTCTGATCTCAACTTAGAGCTCATCTGTAGCATGCCTTCCACTGTTTCTTGTCTATGCCAGTGATAGGCACTACTAATCGATCACGATTCTTCTTCCTGTTTGGCAGTCTTAGCATCCTTTCCAACGCAGCACTCCATGCAATGAGGAGCTGCCTAGAGCTGGTCATGAAATTTAACTTCTGGCCATCCGTCACTCAGTGTGACACAATATACCATGCTGCCCCTCCCAAACCAGTGGCTATGTTCTTGCTCTCACTTTCATAGTCAAGGGTAGGGACTGTGGCGTGTGAGGTGTAAACTACCGGGGAACTCCCAGTGTGGCTCTGAACCCAGATGTGGGGAGGGTTGGAAACACACTGGTCACGCCCTGATCTAAAGCAGGTGTCCGTGATACGAGAAAGCGGTTACTGTCAGGGCTGCAGGTGCCGAGACTGTAAATAGAGGGTTTGTGCGAGTGTGTTCTGTTCAGTGTTATGAACCAACTGTCAACAAGGTGTCAGCCCCACCGGGCACCTTGAAGATGTCCCCCACCCCTCCACCTTCCACAGCAGGAGATGAGAGCCATGCCTGTCTCATTACCGGTGGGGTGGGAGATGGCATCATCTCCCAGGCCTGCAGATGAAGCCAGTTGGCGCCAGTGTCTCCTGTATGGCTGGCTGGGAAATTAATCTCCCCGTCACCATCACCCACAGAGGAGGTTCTGCTTTAAATTATGGGAGCAACTCTCGCATTTTCCCAATGCAGGGTTATTTTATCAAGAAGATAAATTTGACTGCAGAGCAACAACATGACAGCCCCCTTCAAACCTCTGCCTCCCTGTCCCCTTCACCAGCTGCGGCAAGGACAGAGGAAGAAGTCAGCTTTGTCTCAGCCCCTGACTTCTTGTCCAGGCAACTTCTCCAAAGGTGCCCGTGATCAAATCAACGCCACCTCCCCATGTACACAATACCCGATCTGTCGCCACCAGTCCCTCAGAGCCGGCAGGAATGGCAGCTGTTTCCTGAGTACCTCCTGTGTGGCTCCACCAGATCATCTCCTTTCATTCAATGATGGGATTCCCAGGCAAGAGGTAAGGAAACAGCCACAGGGAGGTCAAGGAATTTCCACAACATCACAGAGTACCACACACAAGCATCCGGGTCAGTGGGAAGCTAAAGCCCCCTTGCTCTACATTCAGATGAAGGTCTGTGGATACTAAGTGCTGGATCCTTGGTTTCTTGAGAAAGGAAAATCCCTCCTAAAATGATTCCTGGATTCTTCTGGGCTACTTTAGGTGTTGTCAGGCCGTGGCCCAGGCTTACTCAGGCTGAGTTAGCAGAGCATTGCTGGTGAATCACCAGTTTCCAAGGTGGGGGGAGCATGTGGCTCAGGCAGGTCCACACGGAGGACTGGGCCATGATCCACTGCTCTGTGGATGTTCTACCTCTGGATTGGTCCCAGAACATCTGGAGATACCCTGGACTGCACAGCGGGACCTTGGGATGACTTGCAATTGCCGATCATGTGACGCTCTCATGGGATGAGCATGTGCTACGTGCAAGCAGGGCACTTGGGAAGAGGCTGCTGCCTCTGATACTGGAGGGAGGTAGCATCCACATAAGCATGGAGCTAGGGACGCAGGATGCTGAGCACAGTCTCCCACACCATGCAGGGCAGAGCACAGACCTTGGCTCAGGTTGATGGAGTCGATGCCACAGCCTACCACTGCAGAGTTTCTTGGCTCCACCTACCTGCTCTCTGATTGAGCTTCGGAGACGTCGCTAGGATTGTCCTATTCTATAGAGGGGGTTCCGGGGCCCCACAGGGTTGGGGTGGTACCTGGATCCGTAGGCCACTAGTGTGTCAAGCAGAAGCCAAATCTGGGTGGATGATCCAGGTATGGGCTGGGAGTCGTATTAACTCAGAAGGCACTAAACGATCTGTGTGGGTGTGATTGCCACCCCATTTACAAAGTAGGACACTTCATTTTAGGAGCTGAGGTGCCATGCTTAAGATCATATACCCAGTGTGTACATGTCTGGGATCTAAAGATTCCAGGCTTGTCTGGCAGCTCATGGAGCAGTGCGGTACAGAACAGGCACTGTTTTGGGTGGCTTTTCCCCCAGAGCTTTACCTGCTGGGGTTTTGGGCTCCAAAGCAACAGTAATGAGAGGTAGTGACCTTTAAGGGGCAGGGCTCACTGGACAGGTCACGGAACACCATCCTTAGGAGGTGTTAATGTTGGTCTCGGAGCAAGTTGGTCTTATGGGAGGGGGTTATAGAATTGTTATGAAAGAATTAATGTGGCTCCAAGTCCCCCTCTCTCACTCCCTTCTTCCCTGTTTCTCCCCCCTTTCTCTCCCTCCCCACCTTGCAAGACTCGTAGTGGAAGCCACACCACTGCCATGCTTCTATACCTCCAAAACCAGGAACCAAAATAAATGTCTTTTATTTATAAACTAACCATCCTCAGGCATTGGTTTTGCAACAAATAGACTAAGATACCAGGAAAAGAGAGCACAATGAGTGGGAAATGGGGGGGGCAGTAGCACATGTGCTAATCTGGCTCCAATAACTCACTGTGTGACTTTGGACATTATCCTCTCTGGGCCTGCTGTCTGTCTGGAACTGTTCTCCCTGCAGGGTAGGTAGGTGAAGGGTGTTAAGTTGGCAGAGAGGGGGAAGACAACCATGAAGGGTGCTCATTAGATTCGAGCTCTTGTTAAGCAGCGAGGGCAAGGCTGGCTCCAGTTTGGAGAGTTCAGGCTGGGCAGGGACGCTGTAGCAGACCACTGCTGCTAAATCCTTTCTGGGTACATCTGGCCACCCAAGGGGATCCTGCTCATAGCCCCAAGCTATCTGAAACTTGGGGCTGTGGGGAAGGTGCAGAGGCACTGGGTGCTGAGTCAGTGTTTTTCACCATCCCCCCTGCCTGTTCTCCCGGAGATGCTGGTGAGAGAAAGAAGGGGAGGAAACAAGGGCACAGATCTGACTGATGGTTCCTGTCACAAAAATTCTTAAGACATTTGTCACAGGTGCACTTCCTGGGAAGTCTGGACTCAGCAGGGTAGACCTTCACGTAGAAGTGGACAGGGCAGCCATGCGGTCAGTGGAAGGGATGAGGGAGCGTGACACAGGCACCATCTTCCTCCATTTCCCATTGACAGGTCCCAGGTCTAAAGGACAGAGCTTATTGACCTGGACCCTTTTACATCTCCTCCCCCGTGTCTTGAGCGGCATCTCAGCTCAATTACTGATACCCAGCCATGGAACAGATATTTCAGGATATTGACGCAAGTATGACAGAGGTCTGGGCAATTCAGAAACTTCTCAAGGACATAAAGGGTAACATGCAGAACAAGAGGAGAGGTGGGAGGGGCATGGGCAGATCACAGAGAGCTCAGGGAGGAGTGGGAGTGTTGCCTTGGACCACAGGGTGAGTTAAGGCTACCTGCTGTTCAGAATTCTTCTTACAGTGGGGGATGTACCTCTAGAGGAAGCCTACTAATGCCATAACAAGATGTGTCTGTGATGTCAGGAGGGGGGCAGATTATGGTAGAATAAAGTATAAAGTTGTCTACCTATTCACTGATTCTCCATTAATTGACCCAACTAACAACTTATCTATCCTCCCAGCATCTACTTAGTAATCCACTTATCTGTCCATCAATTTACCCATCATCCATCCATTTATCAATCTATCCATGCATAAACACATTCCTTCACCCTTTGCTAATCTACCCATCCACTCATTAATCATTCATCCACCCACTTATATCTGACGCAGGACATCTTTCTGTATGCTGTGAATATATGTTTCTCTTATTGGTTGATGAATAAAACTGTTTTGGCCAATGGGCAGGCAGGATTTAGCCAGGTGGGAAATCCAAAGAGGGAGAGAGAAAGGTAGTAGGCAGAGTCAAGGAAATGCCATGTAGCTGCCAAGGAAGCAAGAGACCTGGACAACACCAGTCAGCCAAGACTACATAGAGATACACAGGTTATAGAAATGGGTTAATGATTAAGAGAGAGCTAGCTAGTAAGATACCTAAGCCACTGGCCAAACAGTTTATAACTAATATAAGCTGCTGGGTGTTTATTTGGGACTAAAGGGCTGTGGGATCAGACGGAACAGAAACTTCCATCTACATATATCTATCCATCAGTCCATCTACCTAACCATCATTTACTCATTCATCTGTCCACCATCCATTTATGTATCTACTCATCCATTCATTTACCTACCCATTTACCAATATTTATCCATATAGCCATCCACCCACTCACCTACCCATGTATTATCCATTCACTCATGCATTCTCTCACCAAAACTCACCAAGTGCTTATGCCATACACATGCTAGGATTGCAACATAACTATGAATCAGACCAAAATGAACCTCTCAAACTGGACAGCAATAGATTCCCAAACAGATGTCCTGGCAGAGGAGGAGATTCGATGTGTCATGGAGTTTCCAGGTCCCACTTCAGCAGAACAACTTTGCTCCCATCTGGTCTACAAGTCAGAGTTAACCAGAGACCACTCCACTGCCAAGCAGAAGGTTTCCAACCACCATGTTCAAATATAACTGGGAAAATATACGTGACCACCCACAAGCATAAGCTCAGAGTGATTTATTCTACTATTTAGACACATCCTGCCTCTCAAACAAACACACTAAAATGAGCTCAGATGTCTCTCCATATACCTCAATTCCATTTCTTTGTCACTTGGTAATATTTTATTTCTGGCTTGCAGAAATATTTATTCACTGGCTGGAAGTCCACGGAGCCACTTTCCCTGTTTCTGAGGCAGCTGCTATTACAGAGCGAGCTGTGGTAAAGGATACACTTGTCTAGAACGTACATCTGCTCTCAGTTTCCTGCTAGCCTCATCACTGGCCTCCAGTGCCTCCCCCTTCTCCTTCATCTCCCTCTAGAGTTGGCCCTACATTTCTTCTCTTTTTCACAGTACTGAGGATTGAACCCAGGGCCTTATGCACTCTCCCCCTGAGCTACATCTCCAGCCCTGAGAAACCAGGTTCCTGTAACACTGGTAGAGCCCCCGTGTATGCAGCGTAAGTGTGGCACTGGGTGGAGAAGCATCTGTAGGGATAGGAGTGAGGGGACTGGGTGGACCCACCCATCAGCCAGGGGATTAGCCCCAACCTTCCAACTTGCATCATGAGAATTATAATCATGACAGAAAGATGACCACTTACTTTAACATGGAATTTGCAGGAGCTTATAAATATTTAATCCATCAAATGTTAAATTTGCAAATGCGGCAGATGACCACCAGCTGTCTCACGGGGAGGGGGAGCCAGGGAGGATTACTGATGACTATGTGCAGGCCATGTCATCCACAGACTTCTGTACTGCACAGGTCTCAGTCCTGGAACAAGCCCAGAGCTGTGATGGCTAAGGTTTCCTCAAGTCCTGTCTTCTTGGAATCTCACTGCAGCCTCCCGCCTCAGAGCCCAGACTGAGGCAACTGATTTAGGAAGCAGCTTCATCAAAGGTGTGTCACTGCAGGTCCTGCCCATCCATCCTGTCCAATCTGTTCCTTTACATTGCTGTGACAAAATACTCTGACTACGAGAACTAAGGGAGGAAAACATTTATTTCATCTTAGCATCCCAGATCATAACCCATTACTGAGGTAAGATGTGGCAGTAACTGGAGGCAGGAGACTGAGGCAGAAACCACTGCTTGCTGGTTCACTCACAGGCTTATGCTTAGCTAGCTTTCCTGTAGAGTACAGAATTACCTGCCTAGGGATCATGCTACCTATAGCGGGCTGCCTCCCATCAATTAATAATTAAGACAATCCCCCACAGACATGCCTACAGACCGGGCTGATCTAGACAATTCCTCAAATGACTATATACTCTGTGAAGTTGATAATTAAAGCTAACTAGGACAGAAACTCAATGCAAAATATATTCAGGATATGAATATCATAAAATCATTGTTTTCCCCAAAGAGCTGACACACAGGAAAAAAATCTCATTTGTAGATTTTTGGCACATGTGCCTATGATCCTAACATTCAGGAGACAGAGACTAGAGAACCAGTTCAAGATCATCCTCTGCCACACAATGAGTTTGAGGCCAGCTCTCCTAGGTGACGCACTGTCACAAACAAACAAAAGAAAAATGAAATGCAACAAAACAAAAGACCATGGGAACTACACAACTGATTCCTTTTGCCCTTTTTGCCTTGGCCCCCAGGACACTCAGAGATACTCCTGCAACTGACTTCAACGTGAAGAGAAACTGGTCTTTCCTTATCTTTCTTGTGCTATGTAATTAGCATTATGTAAGAAAGAAAATCATTTCTGTGAGTCAGGTTTAGGGTCTGTGTAGATCACCACTACATTATCTGCTATTGCAGAGGAGAATAATCACATTGGCATGGGGGTATTGCCTATCTCCGCTCCCACCAAAACTTAAAAGGTCAAAATCTTTAGGGAGTCCTGCAGGTGATAAATAAAGTGATTAAAACCCTTGGTTATTGACATTGACTGTCTACACACCTTAATGTCCTCATCTCTCAAGCAAGGTAATTATGTCTAAAGGCATTTCTGTGAATTGCACAAGACCACGTAAGTAGATTACATGAAACTCCATAAATGCAACCACAAAGGCTGGGCACAACTGTCAGGATGCCATTTCAATCCCACTTGAGCAAAGAACAGTGAGTATCTGTGGAGTTCTTGCCTGGGATTGCTTCCCACAGTCCCTCACCATCTCTGTCAGCCTTAATGGGGCAGGTTGTGAAAGCTAGCAGCTTCCCTGCTACTGGGATAAAAGGAAGTACAGTTTACTTAGAATGCCATTATTTAAGCAGTGGTCTCAGTGGTGGATAACCAGGGCTAGCTGCTATACTAGCCTCATGTTGTGGCCCTGAATGCAGCAAAAATGGGTTAGTGGGCTAGCTGGCAACTGAACGGGGAGTCAGCTTCAAGGACCTGTGTCTTAATTAGGGTTTCTATTGCTATGAAGAGACACCGTGACCACACAACTCTTATAAAGGAAGACATTTAATTGGGGCTAGCTTATAGTTTCAGAGGTCTATTTCATTGTCATGGTAGAAGCATGGTGGCCTTCAGGAAGATATGATGCTGGGGAAATGAGCTGAGAGTTCTACATCTTGATCTACAGGCAACAGGGAGTGAACCGAGTCACACACTGGCTAAGGCCTGAGCATATGAGACCTCAAAACCCACCTCCACAGTGACATGCTTCCTCCAACAAGGGCACAGTACTCCAACGAGGCCACACCTCCTACTAGTGCCACTCGCTATAGGCAACATATTCAAACACATGAGTCTATGGGGGCCATTTCTATTCAAAGCACCACAGCTTGAGAGGCCCTCCACATCTCCTGGGGTTGACTACTGCCTGGGATCAGGTGGAGTAGAACCTGGATCTCTCAGGCTGATACAGTCTTTACTTCTGT